TATAACAAATAGTAAAAACAATTCTAAGAGGCTAAAGCATGCATATAATGAGGGGGTTACCCCTTACTACCCAAACGTGTACCCAAATCCGAATTATTCACCGATTTGCATTTTAAGTTACCGTCTTTACTCGAATTATAGCCAGGGGCGATTATTTCTTGCCACAAGTCGACCTCACAAGTTTATGCGAGCGGAGGACGAAGGACGTTTTTGAAAGTCTATGTATTGATAAGCGGGCTGCTTTGAGAAGTTTGTTAAACGGAAATATACAGTCAAAACCCGCTTAATACGGACACCTCATTATTACGAACAGTTTTGCTTTGTCCCCGAGGAAAGAAAGCCCTTACATTTCCTCCAAATTTAACCTGCTTAATACGGACACCTCGTTAATACAGATACTTTCCATGGCCTCCTCAGTACCCTTATTAACGGGGTTTGACTGTACATGTCGGTTATTATTCTCGCCCCTAACGCTTTCTGTCCGACGGGGGAGAAGAGGCCCTGGGGATGAGAATGCTTTTTGGACAATATTACCAGGCCTTTAACCGTTACAGACGTTTTGTTGCCATCCTTAAACAACCACACTAATGAATCCTCTTTAATTGTAGCCTGCGAAGCGCAGACGTATTTCCGGTCGTCGCTTCTCTCCCTCAGAAGCGTTAAATCGCGGGACGATTATGTTATTAATCCTTCTGAAGTTGTTAATGTAGTGCAGGGCCCGGGTTTATTCGGAGGGAGAGAAGCGACGACCGGAAATACGTCTGCGCTTCGCAGGCTACTTTAATTGTGATTTACAGAAAAAAAGAATTATTTGTTTCTGCAGGCTATGGTAACATTGTACCAAAAACAGTTCAAGGACGTCTGTTTTGCGTGCTACACGCACTTATCGGAATCCGCGGGACATGCTTGACTCTTAAAGCCGTCGGAGATTAAATAACGGAACTATTCACAAAATTAATAGGCCTTATCACGGTTTTGTTAGCCATTTTGACGAGTAGGAAACCGAATGAGAAATTACATTGTTTGTATGAGAATCTAATGTCGAATAATTTCCGTAAAGGGCTATTCTCAAAAAAATATGAATTGTAAACTAAAGCTACACAGCAAAGGAAATTAACAAACAAATTTTGGGGGCCGTTACTGTCAAGTGCTTAAATTTCTCCTGACGCTTGGTTTAGATTTTCCATATATTTGTCTGCAATTTTTCCAGGGAAATTTTAGCCGGCAGGAAAAGAAATTTTTTACAGACAAATGTATAGAAAATTTTTAAAGTGCTTCTAGCGCATGTAACTGCATGTAACGCCCTCAAATTTTTTCAGTACAATCGTTACGACTGAAGCTTTAGTTTGCAATTTAATATATATATATTTTTTTTCAGAACATACAGCCGTTTTACGGAAATTAGGTTCTCATACAAACACTGTAAAAGTCACGCGGTTGCTTACTCGTCAAGATGGCTTCCAAAACCATGATAAGGTCTACTTCAGACTTGGAGAAACAAGTCTTGAAAAGACCACATACTCAAAATTAACTTGGAGCTAAAAGTTGCGTTGACAACGATTTTGGTAACTGCGCTTTGTCTACTACCATTAATGGCTCTCTTGGTTCACGTGAGACACAAGGAATGCTCATATATCAATTGTTTTCAATTTACTTTCACGACTTTGAGTACAATTGGTTTCGGTGATAGCTTGCCGCAGTTTAAGTAGAATGATGATTACTCACCTGTACTTCTGGCGTTTGTGGGTCTCGCTTTCGTATCGAGCATATTTTGCTCAATGAACAATGTGCTTGCCGAGCAGTATGGAGTTACTGGGCGCATTGTGCGGTCACTGCGCGAAAAGAACGCAAAGAAGTCTTCAGAAGAAAAAAAACAGTAATAACAATGAACAATCAGCTTGTAACGGGAACGAAATAATGGTGGAAGCTTATAATGATGGCAAAAAACAGGTGCGGATCCAGAAAATTCAGAAAGGAGTGGCTGAACCACTTGCCCACTTGCCAGCTATATAGATACTTTTTATTTTTCTTGGAACTTCTACAAAAATAATAGAAAACCTTCAAAGAAAAAGGGGCTGCTGCGGCCCCCTCGGTCCACCCCTAAATTGAACAACATGCAGTCCGGCTAAAGATAGGCGACAGTAACAAGCTGGACAATATGCAAATTTCCGGTTCTGGAAGAAACATTTTTGCGGAACAAAGAACTATGAGAAGCAAAAAGCGTGAAAGCTCAGTTAGCCTTGGAAAATTTACTTGCTAACTAGGATTGGTTATTGGGTCTGGAAGCTTTGACCTGGCTGTCCAAATGTTTTCTAGGTTGTTCAGTATCGCTTTTAGTAGATTTTGTTGCACGGTATTACTGATAACTCGATTGAAGGTGGATTACCGAAATATGGGTTCGAAACACAGGTATGACAAAAAAAACGTGGTCTAACAAAAGTAAGCAGAACAAGGAGTAGAAACAAAACTAAATGGTTACACCACCCACCGTTTGCAGCTCAGTATATTCTTTCTTGAAGTAAAATGTTTGGTCTTGATCTGCAGATCAGTTCAGGTATCTAAAAAATTCCCTTGGGAATTTGACGGAGAATTGTCTAATACTACTTGGAAAAACCAGGGACACGAGAAAAAGTAAGGGGTTCAGAAAGGGCGCAAAAAGGGACGATGGCGCTCTTTCCTCGTGCGCGTGTTCCCTCCTCTCTCGCACGCCTATCTCGCGCGTTATCCTTCTTATGGGCCTGTAATGCAGGGGAAAAGGGAGTAGTTTTTGAGCCATTGTTGTTCTTGAGTGTAACTTTAATTTATTGGTCGTGTTGCAGAGTAGGTTGATATAAATGGCTTGGTCTGAAGTTGGGTAGAAATTTTAAAAAAACGTCCCTTTACTTTTTGTTTCTTTCATGAGAAATCCGTATTGATTGAAGTCATTGTAAGAGTAATGTTAATTCAAACCTGGCAGCTTGGAACATGTATAAGAGTGCCCACTGTTGAGTGGACTGCAATAGATAGTGTTTCGAAGAGTGGTTCCGATCCAAAATAGGGACCGTACAGTAAAATACGGGGAGATTACGGGTGGGTAAGTGCAAAATAAGGTAGGGAAGGCTAGAAACATGAACAGCCCCGCCACTTAATATTACGTAACTGTATAAATGAACAAATAATGTACATTTAGTCAGGCACGAGACAAGGAATAGGGAAGGCGAAAAATCTTCCCAAGTGGTGGGGAGGGGCGGGGCTGGTAATGACTTGAAGTGGGGAGGCTGGGGGAACCTATGCTTAGCAAGTCTTAATGTTTTCTGAAAAGGTGATGAAGGGGGGAGGGGGAGCTTTTTTTTTCAGCTTCCGGGCTCCGCCGTGTCTGACGAAAACCCATACAGCAGGAGCTTAACGAGCTTTTTGCAACATGAAGCATACTCCCCCCTGAATGGGATGTTAGTCTAAATAGTCCATCGCAGTGTTACTATCCCCTCCCCTAATCACTTTTTCCAGTAAAATGTCACCAGTACCTATTTATTCACCTGGGCAAAGGGAAGCAATGTAAGGAGCTTAGGCAACTACAATAATTAGAATATTAATAATTTATTACAGTGTATTTCTAAACAGTTGCTGCCCTAATCACATTAAATAAAAAAAATGATTACAATATAATTAATTAATTTTACTTACATTATTTAAAATTTACCAAAGCTCCAGCTTTAAAGAAAAAGAATATCATAGAACTCTATCTAGAAAAAACAAAAGATAATGTCAATCAAGACTTCGAAAAATATGAAACAGACAAGAAACACTTAAAATTAAATGCATATTTAAAAAGATAAGTTGCTTGAATAATGACTTCTAATTTGATAAAACTACGAGTGAGTCACGCCATACAGGGGATTTATGTCAGTTGCTGCAAAACAAGTTTGTATTGGGCCAGTAAAATGCGCAATGAACGTAAACATGCATGTACAGATTTTCTTGCAAAAAGAAGAACTAATTTCTGCAACAACTCTTCGCAACTTGCAACAACCTGCTGATTTCTTGCAAGATTTGAATCGTGGGTGGTAAGACGTGCACCATCCCTATTCACTAACTCGTTTTGCAGCAATGCAACAAAACAAGTTTTTGTTGCCCATATTACAGTGCCTTATAGTGATACGAACCACCATTTGGAATTTTGTAATGACGTTTTGTTTTCACGACATATTTAGATATTACGCAGCCTGGGAATTTCATTGCTGATAAAATTTGAAAGAAGTAATGTGGCCAATTTAGCAGAAATGATAAATGCTATTAGTGCTTTCATTAAGGCTTTTGACGCGTCTTTTAGTTGAAATATAAGAAACTCGATTCTTGACAATGGTGCCTTTTCAAGACCCATCTTTTCTTCCGAAGAAGAGGACCAGAAGAAGGTCTGTTAATACTAGTGCTCTAAATAACGTCTGGGGCCCATTATCGAGTCTTGACGACATAGTCGATCTCCAAGATTTTCTCGGAGTGAAAGAGAAAAAAGTGACATTTAACAAGTGCAGGGTGAATAAAGTGTGTTATTGGAGATGTGTGTTCCCAGGTTGTCGTAACTCTTCACCGCCCCTCAATTAGCATATCTCTAGTAGTTGTACATCTCTTAGAATGCATTCATTCGCCAGTGCACATCTTCCATAACACACCTTGATTTGCCCCCCAAAAATATGCATAGGTATTGTCTTCAATTTCTCTTGGTACAACAAATTAAAAACAAAGGATATGCAAAATGAGAAAGGGAGATGGGGCGGGGTGCAGGGTGCATCAAAAGTATGTTATTGGAGATGTACCACTGAATTGATTAGAAGATATACTAGGTGCTACCAGTATCGTATATTAAGTTAGGAGAGGTGATATGGGGTGGGGCAACACTTATTAGAAGGAGGCGCTTAAAATCCCTCAAACGAGTGAATGGATCGCAAAGACCTCAAAGTCAGATATATAGTTATTAGCTCTGGCGGAATTGGGGGAAGTTACCCAGTGTATCAGTGCTATTCTTACCGAATGCAAAATTTGTTCAGAGTTTGATTAAGTTCTCTTTGTTTGCTTTCAACCAATCTTAAATTGTTAAAAGTTCTTTTGACTTTAGGATGCTCCTCGCCATAAATCTCTTTTCTAATGGCAAGAGACTTCTCATAGTATTCTTTAGCCTGATTGTACAAACCAAGATTACTGTAAACAGTTCCCAGGTTGTTGTAACTCGCCGCTACGTCACCATGGTGTTCACCATAAATCTCTTTTGTAATGGCAAGAGACTTCTCATAGTATTCTTTAGCCTGATTGTACAGACCAAGATCACTGTAAACAGTTCCCAGGTTGTTGTAACTTGCCGCTACGTCACCATGGTGTTCACCATAAATCTCTTTTCTAATGGCAAGAGACTTCTCATGGTATTCTTTAGCCGGATTGTACTGACCAAGGTCACTGTAAACAAGTCCCAGGTTGTTGTAACTCACCGCTACGTCACCATGGTGTTCACCATAAATCTCTTTTCTAATAGTAAGAGACTTCTCATGGTATTCTTTAGCCTGATTGTACTGACCAAGGCTTTTGTAAACATTTCCCAGGTTGTTGTAACTTTGCGCTACGTCACCATGGTGTTCACCATAAATCTCTCTTGTAATAGCAAGAGACTTCTCATGGTATTCTTTAGCCTGACAGAACTGACCAAGTTGCCAGTGAACATTGCCGCGTTCACCAAAATGTTTCGCCTTTTGCAATTTATCATCTTGAGTGTCACTTAGATACGTTATAAAATCAGAGGATAAAGTCGAGAAAAGGTAAGCATCCGATAAATTACTTTGGCGGTAACAAACTTCAGTAATAAGGGTAAGAAACGAAACTAAATCGCCAAGAGTAATTACCGGTAGTAATGTATTAACTACTGATTGTTCTTCATTAACCATTTTAGTTCTGATAAACTGAAATAATACTTTACAATGACTGACAATTTTACTCAACTTTCCGCAGGCCTGGGCACTAGCATGTAGAAGATTCCGGTTTTCTTCCATCAATGAATGAAAAATCCTAACAGCAACAGAAAAGCACTCAGCTTCATGGGTCAGGTCCAGGAAAGATGTTATAGCGGACTTTACCACTTCATGAACAACATTATGTACTCTTAAGTAAGTGGGCGTCTCGTCTTTGTCATACAGGCAAGTTATCATGGTGGATTTCAGAATTTTTGCTCTAATCAACGCTTCTGTTTGATGTTTTGTACGAAATGTAACAAAGTCAACAGCAGCTTCAATTGGTAGGGAATCAGATGCGCACAAAGAAAACAAAGATAAAACTGCACAAAGAACTTCGTCGCTTTCCAAAGCTCGAGTTATTGCTATTCTGATGGCAGTAGTCGTTGTTTTGGGATATGCTCTGTTTTGTTTCGCAAAAAACTCCTCTCTGGCTTCGCGTTCCTCGCTGTTAAACGTTTCCAGGTATTTTGTCCAACCGTAATTAGGGGTACCATAGCTGACAATTGTTTGCACGTAGACTGCAGCAGCCACTAAGGCAAGTGGCTGATACTCGAGAACTTTAGCAACCTCCTCAGCTTGTTGTTGATTCGAAATTTGGGACACTTCTCTTAAAAGGTCTACTGCGTCATCCGGATGCATTCCTTTATTGAGAGATTCATGGTAAGTATGAGGAGCGTTAAAGGGTATTGACTGAGTATCTTGAATAGTTACTAGCACCTGACCATGACCCCACTCTTCACTGGCGGTTGGAGGCAGACAACTTCCAACCAAGGATAGGTCAACAACATTATCCACAATAATCAGCCAGGCTGAAAATTGTTTTACCTTTGTAGAAATAAAACGCATAAAATGCTGAATTGTTTCACTTGAACCGAGCTTCGTGGAGGATGCCAGGTTCGTCAGAGCGTATTCCGTAACTCCCAGTTGTTTAGCTAGATTGAAATAGGAGTTGGCAAGCAAGTCAAGGGTTTCTGCATTCAGAGTTGCAACAAATATTAGACCTTTGTCTTCACGTAATCTTTTGTCATACACTTCCTGTCCCACCTGACGAGCGATTTGGCTTTTGCCACAGCCAGGAATTCCTGATAAATAAATGGTGCTGATGGCTTCTTTGCTTTCATTATAAAGTTCCTCGAGCTTGTTCTTGATTCTTGTAACATCCTTTGAACGTCTGATGATTTGGTGCGATGGCTTGAATGTAAGACTACAGAAAGACTCGACTTTGGAATTGATTTCCTGAGTAAGGGTTTCTACTTCCTCCTGCTTGGTCTGTAATGTGTCTCGGGTCAATTGTAATTCAGAGTTTAGATTTTTAACTTCTTCCTTTTTCGCTTTTAAATCAGCTTTAAGTCCATCAGCCTTTATCTTTAAGCTATTTACTTCTGCTGTGGGAAAGCTGCTCTGGTTTTTAACATCCTCGATTTCATCAGTTGAGAGTTTCAAAGATGTAAATGCAGCTATCACTCTTGCTACATAATTTTGAAATTCAGCATCAGTAAGTTCAACTTCGTTTATGTGAGCGATGTCGTTTCGAATCTGTCGGAGATCGTCGACCTCTTTTCTGATTGTCGCACTCAGTGTGGTGCTAATACTATCCGAGAACAATATCGCAAAAAGTAGACAACTGCAGTCCCACTCTGCTGTGTTTCCCTTTTGTATTGTCGCAAAATATCGAGCATTCTTTGTGCGACTTCTCCCCGTTTCGTTGTTGTAGAAATCACTGCCATTTTGTGGAATGTCTTTTCATTCCCCAAATGGAGTTGTCATGTAAAGGAAATTCCACTCTTGTTTGAAGACTTTCCGAAGTCCTTCGGCGACCAAGTTAAAGGCGATATAACATATTCTGAAATAGTTTAACTGTTGTGGAGTATATTCCATTTTGAATTGGGATCTAGTAAAAAGATTAGCGAAAGAAAAAAATCAGTCTAAAAATCGCTATCCACCCAACGAAATCCTACATCGAAGGCCCCCATCCCCCCACCCCCTTACAAATTGACTGATTATGCGCCCTCGTTAAGCATTAAACAAAAGGGTAGAGCAAAATACAGCCAACAAAAATTTACTTGCTCCGTGAAACGTTTTAGAACATTTTCCCGGCTTTTGATATATAGCATCAATGCATCTGTAGCAGTTTTTACAAAGGCGTTAAGACGGTTTAACTCTGTCTCAAAAAACGTCTTTAACATGACTTTATTGCTACTATAATAAGTAGAAAAAAACTGCTTTTTCAGTAAAATGTGGTCCCCGCAAAGCAGACAGGACTTTATTAATACTTCAGTTGGGAGCATATACTTTCCTAGAAAAGGACGATCCAAGGAAATTAGTGGATCTTATATTTGCGACCAAAATCCTTAACTACTTAAAACCAGAGGGAGAAAAGCAGAAAACCAAAACAAAGCTGGAGCAGGTGAGTCGTTCGCAAGTTTGACTCCCGCGAAACTTGCGCAGAATATTGACGAAACACGTGACGATTTTCAGTTGCTCGCGAATACCCAATACCTTTTTTGCAACAGTATTCTCCTTATCAAGCGGTAACCAGTAAAATTTGCCACCTGAAGCAACACTGACTTCTTACCGACTGCAATGGCCTGAAAGTTTGCTAAAATTAAAGATTAAGTACTTCAAAAAATACACAAGTTGTGATCTGATCCAATTCTCACATGCCACAAGAAAATGAATAAATGTACGGAGAAGTACTTTAGTATACACAGCTTTTCTCTTTATGGGCCACACATTTGGAAAAAGAACATTGAACACATTATTGGAATCAATCGTTTTAATTTGTTGTGTAAAGAAAACAACGGCCGATTTGCGTAGTAACGTAGGTCTTAAAATGAGGGAATAACATTTCAGAGGACTTAGCCCCTAAATTTCCCAGCAAGAGCGGGGCCATTTCCCGCACTCCACTACCCGCCAGTACCCGGAAACGTGCACCTCTGAGGCGCACATTTTTTGCCTTACCGGCTGTGAATGGTCCCTTACCTGCTGAGCTAAAATTTAGGGAGAACAATGTGCAAGGTTATCAAGTGGGCCACACACCTGCACCCAAGTTCTAGTTGATAATCCCTCTCCCTTCAATCCACCAGGAATATAATAATAAAAAATATAAAAGACAGCTAGCTACGGGAAAGAGTTTTCAACTGCATGTACAGCAGCAGCATAGACAGAATCCCAGACAAGGATTTCGGCAGCATAAATTGAGCACATTGCTAAGATAAAAAACTAAGGTACTTGCGGGCGCAAAAAATAGAAACGTCACCATTACCTACCGATTCCTCGCGGCCCCTGTTCAAGCAAATCGAGATTTTTTTCCTCAACATACGCGCGAGTTACTAGAGTGCCTACTCGGGATTTCGCCTGGTGGGCGAAATCCCAGCGGGGGCAACTAGACTAAACTCCCAAAATCACCTCCCCCCACCCACCCCTATCCCGGAGTAGCTATTTTCCAGAAACTACTGAGGTCACAAACACAGTCCAGCCAAAACAAATACGATTTGATTTTTTTATATTTTTGAGTGGCAATTCCCGGTACAGTTTCCCTAGTCTAGACTAAAATCTTCAACCAATTGATCAGTATCATGGAAAATGATACCCTATTCTAGACCTAAACTCTGTGATTTATATACCCTATCCCAGAGTGAACTGCTTGAAAACCATACCCTTCACAGCGGCACATACCTATATAGCCCATATATGGCAGTACCCCCCGGGATATGTACCAAGTAACTGTAGATATCAATTATCCAAAGTACAAGAAAAAAATGAACAGTAAATGTAACTGGTTGCTCTTTCATACAAGGCATCCTTCTCTTTTAACAAAGTCCACTCTTACTTCATCATGATATCCGCAATTAAGGCTTCATTCATATTATCACATGCTCATCATGCGCATGTTCTCTCCTTCATGCCGTCACTGTCTTTTCCCGCCAATTTTCTCAGGGCCAAATGATTCAATCACAACAGTGTCTTTTTCCTACCACTCTCCCACTGGACTGGAACCTTTTTTTGCTCTCTTTTTTACGCCTTACTTTTACTACATTAGACTAACTCTATATTTGTATTTTTAAAATTCATCATTGATATTATACACAATAGTATAATTATACTGGACAATAGATCAACTTTCTTTTTGTCTTGCTTTCCATTAAAACTAGTAAATGTGACAGGTAAGTGCAATCCCTGGCTGCACTTCACCCCACAGTAAGTCTTAGCCCTTGGAGACAGGTCTGGAAAAATATCCCCTTCAGGCTGTGGACATACCCTTGGTCTCACCTAATCTCAGTACTCCACCCAGCTGGCCCCCATCCTGGTTCCACTTAAGTTCCTAGTCACTAGGGGATATGAACCTCACCCCACGGAGACTTAGTGGGACTCCTGTCAAGGGTGGCTACCCCCGGTACCACACTATCTTGCCTGGCTTCACTCCTAGTCTCCTTACTCCAAGATTTAAGTGCTTCCCTCCCACCAAAATTTTTTGCTCATTTACTATCTTCTGTGGTATCTTTCTGTTCGGTTTACTGCATAGGACTGTACGCAAAAGCTTCAACTAATCGAAGAGTTTATTAAGCTAGAGTTAATTAAGAATATTCTAACCTGCTTAATTATTACTGTGATTTGGCTAAAGTATATGACTGTCATGAATGATGGAATTTTGAGACATTAATAGACAGTGATCAATGTAATTAATATCAAAAGCAGTATACTCAAAAGATTTAAATCTTTAGCAATCAAAAATGTCTAAAAACATCTCGTGCTTTATCATAGAACTTGTAGCCATGAGGAAGTCATTTGCAAGGACGCAAAAAGGATCATGAGCCTAATGAAATTTTTGATGCAAAAAATTCTTTTACCATGTAAAACAGAGACTAAATCCAAACATAATGCATCAACTTACCACCCCCCCCTGCTGAGTCTCATTGTCTACTCCCGGAGAAATTAAAGGAGCTACATTATAGGGTGAATATATTTGTCACTATTGGCATACCTTATTTAGTTAAGAGTATGCAAGCTGTGCATGGAGATCCATACATGAGAAAACAACTACGCAAAATCAAAGGGGTGCAACGGTGCAGTACAGAAAGGTTTGAAAATGCCTAAACTTACACCTGGACAGTCACGCAACCAAGCTTATATTATTTTATTTAATTTTAGGCTGCCACTGAGGCAAAGAAGGATGGAAGCAAGACTGTTAATGCATACAGTGGTAAATGGTTTGGAGCTCCCAGTCCCTGAAGAGTAGCATGTGACTAGACAGTACCATCCACAGAGATTTCAAATCTGAGTAGCTAAACTCCAAAAACATAAGCCAATAAAAGCCTGAACAGCCTACAGCAACTTGGGTGCTTGAGTCAAGAGACTCAGAGACATTATGCTGTGTGAAGCTACTTTTGCAAGGAGTTACCAGAAATGCCAATATTGATTTTTTTTTTACCACTATTAATATATGTTTTGATTTTCCCATATCCACTGTGCCAGAGTGACAGATAATTCCTTTGTTGATCATCAGTGTAGTTTTGATAGGATTTTTATACTCTTGACACACAAAAGTTATCAACAAAATGTGTTTTTTAGAAAATAATTCTTAGGTAAAGGATCTACTAAAATAATGCACAGTAAATGTATTATTATTATAGTTTTGATACAATATAATGGCGAGACAAATGAATTGAAAACTATTTAGATGTATTTCATTTTTGCATCATTCGGCCTATACATGCAGTTTTCTTGGCTGGACGTGCAATCTCACATAACATCGATCTGTAACATATCATAGGCTTTGTTGATGCTCTAGTGGATCACAAAAGGCAAAAAGTGCATTAGATTAGGATGTGATCTGAGCCTTTAAATACAGCTTTAAGAACAAAATAAACAATATAATAATGTTTTCAAATTGCAACACTACACAAAAAAATGCTTGGGTTAATTTTGATTCTACTGAAATAAAACGAATAACACAAAGGTCACGAAGAGTACATTAATTACAGTGAGTACTTAGCGATTAGAATTTATGTTTCTCCCTTTTTCTTCCAATATTTCGTTGCGCATCATGATTCATTGTTAAAATTTTCCGAAACAGAAAGTCCAGTATACTTCGGATCTCCTGTTCCCGTTCTGGAAGATTTTACTTCCGTTTAAGAACTGATCAGGCATGCGCAGAACAACCGTAAGTGCAGGATTTCTGTGGTCGAGATTTGATGTCCCCAGAGTCTTTCTGACATTGCCCTGCTGACCAAAAAGCCTGAAGACTCTGGGTACTAGATTGGCACCAAGTCCACAACATCTGAAGCAAGAAAAAGGAAAGGGCAGAAAAGAAAACGGGAAAAGTGGAAGCTCGCAGCTTGTGAAAACAGGAGTTTTACAATGCATGTTGAATTGTTTTCCAATTTAACGCAAAGGCACATGACATAAAATGAAAGTTAGGGGCCCCCTGTAATAAGAGTAATTTAAATTTGAGTCCCCCTATCTTGGCATTATTTTTACTTAATACCCCCCCCCCAACTGGTTTTTCAGCCCCCCCTCCTGATAATTATTGCACAGTCCCTACCTTGACATCACACTTCTCCTCTCTTTTGAGAAGAGCCGCTTAATAGAGGTTTGTCTGCATGTTTAGTTTACCTTTTGTATTATGGACTATACAAATGCACCCTGTTAGCAGAGCCTTAATTTCTTTCCCTTGCTGCCCACAGTGTGATAAAAATATCAAGTATCTTGACATTAATTTGACATTTCAAGACAGCTACAAGTATGTTATCAGATGTTACAGATATATTTTTCCAATATCCTTTGCAAGATTCAAAGGCCAAAAATTCCACTGATTTTACACTATTTACCTGAATCAGAAATGTAAGGGTTTTTTTAATATTTGAAGTGCCATTTTC